CCTGGGATCTGGGGGTCCATCCCTGGGTTCTGGGGGTGCATTCCCTGGATCTGGAGGTGCATTCCCTGGATCTCCATCCCTGGGATCTGGGGTCCATCCCATGCTCTGGGGTGCACCGCTGTGCTGCAGGAGCTGGAGGAGCTGCGTTCCCGGGCGCTGGACACGGCTGTGGTGGTGTCCATGGACAACAGCCGCAGCCTGGACCCCTCGGCCATCATCGCCCACGTGCGGGCGCAGTACGAGGACATCGCCGGGCACAGCCGCGCCGAGGCCGAAGGCCTCTACCAGGGCAAGGTCTGGGCACAGCCTTCCTCCTCCTCATCATCCTCTCCTGTCCCTCCTCCTCCTCCTCTTCTGCTTTCCCTTCTCCTCTGCCTCCTCCTCCTCCTCTTTGAGTCTTCATCTCCCTCCTCTTACTGTCTCCCAATCCTCCTCATCCTCATCCCCCTCCTCCTCTCCTCCTTTCCCTTCTCCTCCTCTCCCTCCTCCTCTCTGAGTCTTCATCTTCCTCCTTCTTACTGTCCCCCAATCCTCCTCTTCATCCTCCTTCTCCTCATCCTCATCCTCCTTCATGTCCTTCTCCACTTCCTCCTCCCCAACTCTTCATCTTCCTCATTCTCACTGCCCCCCAATCCTCCTCCTCTTCCTCCTCCTCCCTGCCCTGAGTTTTACTCTTCCTCCTCCCTGCTCCATCTTCCTCCTCCTCCCTGCCCCTTCTTCTTCCTCTTCCTCCTTCCTCCTCCCTGAAACTTCCTCCTCCTTGCCCCAAGCCTTCCTCCTCCTCCTGCTCCCCCTCCCTGCCCCGGAGCAGCAGCTGCTATGAGGGAGAAATTCCTGCTCCAAACCCAACTGGAACTGCCACATCCCAGTCTGGAGTGTCCCTCCCGGCCTGGGCACGGCCCAGTTTGGGGTGCTGGGGGGCAGGGAGGGGCCCCCAACTCCATCCCCCCGAGATCCCAACTCCAAACCCAACCAGACCCACCACATCCCAACTGGAGCCACCACACCCCAACTGGGACATCCTTCTTCCCTCCCAGCCCTTCCTTCCCAATTTTTGGGGTGCTGGTGTGTGGAAAAGGGGATCCCTCATCTCCATCCAGTGCAGATCTTACCCACCTCCCTCCCACCCAGATCCCATCTCCAAACCCAACCCACCAACATCCCACCCTGGACCATCCCACCTGCCTCTTCCCTCCCAGCTCTCTCCTCCCAATTTTTTGGGGTGCTGGTGGGATTTGGGGGCTCCCCCCAGTGCCCACTCCCCGGGTGTGTCCCCCCAGTACGAGGAGCTGAAGACAACAGCTGGGAGACAGGGGGATGAGCTGAAGACCACGCGCTCCCAGATCCAGGAGCTGAGCCGGCGCATCCAGCGCGTCCAGGCGGAGATCGAGACCCTCAAGAACCAGGTGTGACCCCCAGGGTGGGATTTGGGACAGTGGTGACCCCCAAATTCCACCCGGGGTTCCTGTGGGTGGTGGGGACACCCCATGGGCTGGAGGACATGGGGACACAGGGAGAAACTGGGGACAGGGAGACTGGGAATGTTGGTGTCT